AGAACTCACCCAGAACTCAACCAAACACCACCTAAAATTCAGGCAGCTCCGGTACCATCAGACGAGGCAGATTGGAGATGCAACGTTCGATGTTGCAGGTTCTGCCAGTGGTTAGTGTTTGAGAACCTGCAGCAGAACCAACCGCTGCTGACGGAACCCTGCAGGACGAGCTTCTACCTCACCCACCTGCTTTGTCGACGTCCCTCAGCGCGCTGTACTGCTCGAACACCTCCGCCCGCCTCCGGATGAACTGCGACGCGTTCGACCAACACGACATCCGCGGCGGCAGGAAGAAGTCGATGAGTTTGTCTCGCACGGCTTTGGTCCGTCCCAGCAGCCAGATGGGAATCTGAGCGATGAGCAGCGGGAACATGTTGTCGAACCTGATGAAGTCGTCCCGCAGCGCGTCCATGCCGCCGTGGCGACGGGCGGTGGGCGGCGTGCCGTACATGGTGAGGAGGGTGGCCTCGAACATGACCGAGTGGCAGAACTCGTACAGGCTGCCGCTCCTCCAGCCGCCATCCCGCCCCAGGTGGTCCTGACGAAACACCAGCATCAGGTTTCCCATCATGCTCTCTGTCAGCGGCGTCAGGCTGTCGCCCTGCAGCAGCTGGAAGGAGCGCCGGACCTGCTCGGGCAGCCCGGGGAACTTCCCGCTGAGCACCGGCGGGTAGCCGAAGGTGAAGGGCGCCACCTTGTTGGAGAACTCGTGGAAGTCGAGCTGCCGGCCGTGTTTGATGATGTTGGGATACAGGAGCGGGTCCATGATGAAGGTCATGTATTTACCTGCAGGGCCAATCAGAGGTTTCAGATGCAGAATATCTGGTGTGAAGATGTAAAGTCTGTAAAAATGATGGAGTGTGGATCATCTTCTTATAAAGTAGAAATAAGCTATTATAGAGTAATTCTGTGAGAACGCTGTAACTGTTCGTTGCCTCTAGTTCACCTTGTCAGTGTGAGATAGCAGGTGGTCAGAACATCACGCCTACACGCACACGTATGCAGGAGGCTGTCTGCTGCCTTCTGTATATAAGAACCAAGGCTTCATGCTTCAGACTCTGTGCTGTACATGTGGCTCCTGGCTGCCAGTAAAGCTTTGCTGCCTCTGTGTGTTGAAGTGGAGCCGTTAGGACTCCACTGAAGGATTTTCCTAACACATGCAAAAGCATCTCGTTCGCCGTGACCTCGTCCCGCCTGCGGCTTCATGCTGTGTCGGAGTCCTTTGCACTTTGGCTCTGTGACCTGCTGAATGTGTCACGGGTTCGGTACCGACCTGCTATCTGCACGGTGAAGATGTCTCCAAACTTCTTCTTATGTTCCTCCAGGAATTTGTGAGCATCTTTTCCAAACTCCAGAGCTTTTCCAATAAAAGGAATCCAGCCTTGGATCAGAGGAGGTTCTCCGGCTCTTCTGCAGGAGAAACCAAACAGCTGCTTAGAACCTGGCAACACCGTAGAAACGGAAAACTGATCATTGATTCTCCTTCATGCTTCTCATTGATCAGGACATATAGATCAGTCATGTGTCAGCCTGAGACTCAACTTCACATATTGATCAGTGATCAGTCAGAGCAGAACGTCACCGCGTCTCAACCTGAGCTTCATCCAGCTCAAACACATCCTCCGGTTTCTCATCAGCTCCTCATTAAAGCGACATCAACTGGACATTACCTACAGAAGAGACGTTGCTAAACACGGCAGTAGGTATGCTGATGACATGTTGTTGGCATGTGAACAGATCTTAGTGTAACCGGAAAATATTTCATTATATCACAAGTCCACCTGGACACAGCATCTCTGTGAAGTGGAAACCTCTCGCTGCAACACGACGAGTCTGGATGTCGCAACACTGTGAACACTTCCCCTGTGAGCGATCAACAGTCTGAACTCCAACACCCGATCCGCCGTGAACATATCTGGTGACAGCACGACGGCATCTCAGCATGAAAACATCAGAAGACTGTTGTTGGAGGGAAACGGTTCGGCTGTACCTGCTTCATTTCACATTCTAGCATGAGATGATTAGTTTGAGGAGCTTAAGCTGCTGCTGCTGCTCCACTGCTGTTACACTTTGGACTCTGGCAGGTTATGAAACCTGACCTGGAACAAAGAGTGAAGCCGACACGCCCTCGAAAAACACTTTCTCCTGTTGTTACAGAGACATCTGCTGCCTCGCCTCCCCAAGACTCTGTCTCACACCGTAACGCAGTGTCCTCGTGTTCTAACAAGACCTTCTCAGTTCTCAGCCACATGGGTCCACCTACAGCAGGTTCTCATCACTACACAGTCTAACAACACATTTTATCAGCTTTAATTAGATATGTTCATGTTAAACAGGAGTGAAGCTCAGAGAGCTGGAAGCATTCAGCCACAGTCACACACCTGCTTCCCTGTGTTGGTCCATGAAGCAACAGGGTTACACACTGGGTTCACCGAGGAGGAGGACGGACACACAATGAGCACAAAGAGACACAAAACCACCACAAAGAGACACAAAACACCACATCTGGATGTTGCTGCTCTCACTGGATCCTGTTTAATAAACTCAGAGAACAAACTCAACCTGGATTTTTTTTTCTCTCCTCTGACCTGCTACAAACTCTGCCTTCAGTCACGTTTGATGTTTATGAACATTTCACTGTAACAGATGTGAAACTGTGACCAAAGTGAAGAAAAACGATGTTTTGTGATTTTCAAACTGTGTCTTTTGCTCTTTGAAATGTTTTTGGATCAGCACCGGAGCTGAATGGAGAAAACCTTCAAGTTGCTTCACACAGCTTCAGGTTGGTGTGTGTCTGTCGGTGCTGCAGCAGTTCAGACTTGTGATGAAATAAAACGAGGTCCGTCTAGGAGAGATTCACGACCAAAGATTCAGACATGAAGCAACACGTTTACACAGAATGATGAAACTACACCGACATGCAATGAGTCAGCTGTAATCTGAAAAGTTCAACAGCTCAACAGAAAGACACAAAATGACA